GTTTTCTTCAATGTTTCACTCAACTACATGCAATATTTATATATTATACTATCTACGGTTGACAATAGTTTTCTTCAATGTTACACTCAACTACATGCAATATTTATATAATGGCGTATGCCTATCTACGAATCGTGTTCAGCTTTAATTATCAAATAGTACTAATAGTAGTCTATCATTGGTCCACTGGTCGTACTCGTACAGTGTATACCAGGGATGGGGTAATCGATGAAAGTAATTGTAATTGAGTGTAATTAATTACATTTTTCAAAGTACATGTAATTGGAAGTAATTTGTAATTGACCATTTTTTTAATTACTTGTAATTGAATATAATTAATTACAATGAAAAAAACCCCCTGTAATTTCAATTACTTTTCAATTACATGTCAAATACTTTACTTAATACATACTGTGTGTATTTAATAGGAAAATATTTCCAACACAGTCACGTTTTACAGTTATTTTTTTTGATTTATTCAAAGAAGCCCTTCTGTTTTTCAAAATCTTAAACTCTTTCATATCTCAAACAGGAACTACATAACATTCCCTCAAAAATTATCACATTATATTTTTTTTTATAATTGACCATAACTGACCAATGGAATTTCCCTTTAAATATAGCTACAGTGTGTAAAAGTTAAAAATATTCACATGAGTGACATGCTTTTTAGAAAACTTACAGTAGTATAAATATATTCATATTCAACAAACTCATGGGTTGCAAATGATTTTGTAAATAATGAAAATAATAATTTATACGGAAGCCCATTGGTGCCAACTTGTATTTATAAAGGAAAAGCTATTTATAAAAGCAAACCTCAATATATAAAGGAAATGGGAAATATAAAAACAAAACCTTGAAATATATAAAGAAAATGCGAAATATATAAATAAAACCTCGATATATAAAAAGGAAATGCGAAAAATATAAACAAACCCTCGATATATATAAAGGAAATGCGAAATATATAAACAAAACCCCGATATATATGAAGAGAAAAATTTCCATCGCCTGACATCTTTAATGACCTTCATTACATCAGTGATTCGCCAACATCTGATAAGCGGCCCCCGAGCCACTATTTGAGTGCAAACGGTTGATATTGCTTAGTTTCAGGATGATATTCAGTTTGTTGTGTTTCTTTGTGTGTCTTAATATGATGATTAAAACTATAGCTAATAAACTGCCGTTCTTTTTACATTTCAAACCTGTGGGGCAGAATTAAATTAAAGACTTTTTTGCTCGATATGTATATTCCATAGCACTGAAAATTTGAAGTCTTTTCAATAAATGCCTGTGTGTTATATCTTGTTTTATAAGTTAGTTAACGTTTTACTTTGCTTTGCACATGATGCATGGAATATTTAAAATCGATAACATAACGAGATTTTGACGGGGGTTCTTTCCGTCATCTTGTCAATATATATATAATAGCGCCATATTATATATTTACATGTTAAGTAATATTTACAAGGTGGAACGATAATCTGCACTATATGAAAATGTGCATACACTAACTCGTCTCCTATGATTAATTCACTAATATATGTACATGATATTTATTCACACCAAAGACCTAAAATTGATACAGTTGTAACTATCGCCTTTTTCTCTCAAAGTCCGATCCTCCATCACAATCAAATGATGTGGGGAAAAAACGTGCACCTTCGTCTCTCCCCGATCTCCAATTCCGATTTCCTTTTTAATTATACATGTAAATATTTATCAGTGGTTTTATATTACTTATATAATTATTTTAAATTAATTTGATTATGGGCATAAGAAAAAGACCGCAAAATGAACATTATTTTAATAAATGTTCAGGTGTGGGAAAACAGTAAACAAGGTAGGCTGAAAAACGAAGTTGATCTAAAAGACATGTAAAGATAATAAATACACAGAAAAAACGATATACATTAAACTAATTTCATCGATATACAATAAAATGCCCATCTGCTCAATTAAGCACATTATATTTTAAGTAATGTTACAATAACAGTTCATTGATACTTGCATGTTCATATATATCGCATTTCCTTTATATATATCGAGGTTTTGTTTAATATATGTCGGTTTCCTTTACATAAATCGAAGTTTTGTATATATATTTTGCATTTCCTTTAAATATTTCGAGGTTTTGCTTTTATATTCAGCATTTCCTTTAAATATTTCGATGTTTTGCTTTTATATTCAGCATTTCCTTTATATATTTCGAGGTTTTGTTTTTAAATTTCGCATTTCTCTTTATATATATCAAGGTTTTGTTTATATATTTTCCATTTCCTTTATATATTTCAAGGTTTTGTTTTTATATTTCGCATTTCCTTTATATATTGAGGTTTACTTTAATATATTGCTTTTCCTTTATATATACATGTTGGCACTAATGGGCTTCCGTAAATTTAATTCATCATAATGAATTGATAAAAATAATTACAAATTTCACTCTGTCACAAAAGTGTTCCCTGATTTACAGAACTAAATTAACAGCATTAAACCGATTACGACTTGATAAACATTAAGATAGGAAATAAAGTCAATACTGATGGAAAGGAAATAAGTTTACTACTATAGATTTATTAATTAACAAAATTAAATAAAGAAATGGCTTAAAATTCAACGATAATCAGCTGTTAATGCTGACAATAGGGCAAACGGGATACAGGGCGAACGAGAATTATGGCGAACGGACTCATGCGAACAGTAGATAGGGCGAATGGACCCGATACCATAGCAAATAGGCTAGCTCTCCGTTCAAGAGCGTAACTTTACGCAGATGCTCTTGAAGGGTGCTGATTTCGTAGATAGTATAATCAAATTTACACTATCTACGGTTGACAATGGTTTTCTTCAATGTTTCACTCAACTACATGCAATATTTATATATTATACTATCTACGGTTGACAATAGTTTTCTTCAATGTTACACTCAACTACATGCAATATTTATATAATGGCGTATGCCTATCTACGAATCGTGTTCAGCTTTAATTATCAAATAGTACTAATAGTAGTCTATCATTGGTCCACTGGTCGTACTCGTACAGTGTATACCAGGGATGGGGTAATCGATGAAAGTAATTGTAATTGAGTGTAATTAATTACATTTTTCAAAGTACATGTAATTGGAAGTAATTTGTAATTGACCATTTTTTTAATTACTTGTAATTGAATATAATTAATTACAATGAAAAAAACCCCCTGTAATTTCAATTACTTTTCAATTACATGTCAAATACTTTACTTAATACATACTGTGTGTATTTAATAGGAAAATATTTCCAACACAGTCACGTTTTACAGTTATTTTTTTTGATTTATTCAAAGAAGCCCTTCTGTTTTTCAAAATCTTAAACTCTTTCATATCTCAATATAAAATAAATTTGATATATTGGCTTGTTTATAAAAATATTAGTTTGTTTTATAATTATAATGCACATTAAGAATACTAGTTTAATTTCAAAAATTTTGTTCTACTTCTCATTGGTATAGGCATGAAACATTTCAATTTTTTGTTGCTAATTGATTATAAAGGAAAAAAAAAAGAAAAAGAAAAAAGAAAATAATTTAATGAGTCATCATGGTCATTACTTTCTTAAGACATACCTTGTTGCCCTTCAACACCCAGCTGTAAATTGCTATCAAAACAACCCTCCAAAATTTCATATAATTTTATACCATGCTTTGTTTAAATTAAAAATATGACCATTAGAGGTGATTTATTAAATACTATTAAGAATGTTCTCCTATTTATATACTTCAGAAAAGAAAAAGATATTGAGTTATAATTTTAACATTTAAACAGATCTTTATATACATGTATGCATTTGGTATCTGAAATAGTTATTACATAAAACAAATATTATTTGTCAAAATTTGCAATTTAAGGTGTTTAGCTTGCCTACCTGTAGCTAAAACAATTTGAGAGTATTTTATGGTTGATTCATAAACTCTTGAAAACTCACTTTTAATCAAGTTTCATAAAGACAGTCAATTAATTGATAAAAATACATGTAGGACTAGGTCTTATGTTGATGAAACAGACACACACACACACACACACACACACACACATCATGTGACAGGCATCTGACATTATTTATTTTAAACATTCCCCCTACCTTAAATTTACATTTACTTCATGTCTTTGTTCTTCAAGATTTTTGAAAGTGAAACAAAAGTAATTGAAATGTATTTAATTACATTCTTCAAAGTAATTGAAAGTAATTAATTACATTTGTAAAAATCAATGTAATTGTAATTGCAAGTTTTTGACAAAATTTTCAATGTATTTGAAAGTATTTAATTACATTTCAAAGTAATTGACCCCAACCCTGGTGTATACCTGGTCAGTTTGTAAGCTAAAAATAGAAACATCACGTGACAAAACAAAACATTCACACATGGCACTCATTCACTTAAACAGCGTTATGCGCGCTAATCACCTTTAAATTATTAACAAAATATTTGATTAAATATCAACTGTGACACTAACATTAAACGATTAGTTTTCATGGTAACGGAGTGATTTCATAGTAAAAGGTACGTGCCATCTCAAAATGTTAAAAGATATTTTTGCAAAATGTCTTCTTCTTGTGAATATTTGAGATGAATATCCCTGAAACTTAGCCGTGTGCCATTCGAAAGGTGAGGGAATGAGATGACCGAGTAGTCCTACAGAGGGAAGCTAATTTTGTCAACTTTAATTTCACGACTTACTTAAGAAAAGTTTGAAGCGATGTGGAGAATATCAACAAAAAGCAATAATCCGAGAGAATCGGGAGTCCGCAATACTAGATTTACCGCCTGCCGAAAAACCGAGGTGTGCCGAGTGTAGTAGCCTGGTTCCCTGCCCCTGTTATGCTTCATGTACTCCGCGCAAGGGTGAGCCAGGGGACCAGGCTAGGAGAAGTACAAACCACGCTAGCCTGGTTCCCTGTCCCTGTTTTACTTCGTATACTCTGCGTCACTAGACAAGGATGACCCAGGGGACCAGG